TCTATTATAGAATATGCAGAAAATTTATTAAAACATTTTGTAAAATCATTTCAAGTTATCTACGGTTCTAAATATATTTCACATAATATTCATAATTTATTACATCTTGCTGCAGACGTAAAACAATTTGGTGCTCTGGATAAATTTAGTGCATTTAAATTTGAGAATTATATGTCTACGTTAAAGAAATTAATTCGTAAAACTAACCAACCATTACAGCAATTAACAAGAAGATTTGCAGAAATTGAGACAATACATAATAATGAAACATTCAAAATATATTCAAATTCATACGATATGGAAAAATGTTTTACACGCTCTCATTGTGATGGTCCTATTACGAAAGATTTCATTTCTGTACAACAATATAAAATTTTTTGCAATAATCAATATTATATTAACTGTGATGATCCAAAAAATAATTGCATTTCTTTTGAAAATGGACAAATAATGTCAATTTTAAATTTCATTAAATCTAATGACAATAAAATGTATGCTATTGGCAAAGTACTTGTGTTAGTGGAAGATTTATATACACAGCCTATTTCGTCATTAACTTTAAATATTGGTATCATGTCTGAATATTCTCATCTTCAGACATGGGAGTTTGATAAAATTAGAGCAAAAATGTTGAAAATGCCTTATAAAAAAAATTATATTATATTTCCGATGTTACACACAACTGAATAATACATGTTTAATATTAATTTGCATTTGTAATTAAATAATTAAACGTAATTATAATACTCTAATATAAATTGCAAATATTATTATTATTATTATTATTATTATTATTATCGTCACATTTTTATCATATTATTTACATCATAGATTATTTATAATTTCAATGCTGATCAATTTTTATTTACAGTTATTATGGCGTATAATATTGTGGAGTTCGAAGATGGTTTACAAATTGTTCCTTCTGAATGGTTAACTGAAAATAATAAGGAATGTAAATGGCCATCATATACAAGTCAAATTAAGATAAATAAAGCAATTATGAAAAGAATATTTCCTTCTGATGATTGGCAATTATATAAAATAATCCGTATTTTTGGTAGCAGCGGTTAGTAATATAAAAAATGTATTTTATTTTTTTATCAAAAATTATATAAATTAAAATTATAATATATATGTATTAAAAGTATATATTAAAATTTAAATTTTAAGTGATATTTGATTATAAAATATATAAAAACAAAAATCTAATTTTTAATATTCAAAAATTTTATACGTTTTAGATACATATGATAAAGCTATAGACAAACTTAAATTAGCTGAACAAATATCCGATATAGATGGAGATGATGGAAATAACCTCAAAAAATCGAGATATCAACGAGCAAAAAAAAATACAGGTTCATCTCCTGATAATTCTGATACAAGCGACACAAGCATCAATAAATTAAAAACTCGCAATGATTTACAGTTAGATAATTTTCCTAATACACCAAAAGCTTTAACAATAAATAAGAGCAAAATCTGTGAAATAAAGACACCATTAATACAAGGTGATAAGAAAATGAATCGAGTAAAAAAAATTTCAAGTTCTTCTGATAATTCAGATAGAACTGACACAAGCAATGATTTAGATGAAGCTTCTAATATATCAAACGATTTAAATAAAAGCAAAATGACTTATGAAATAAAAAAACCACTGATAAAAAATTATAAGAAATTAACTAAGCCCCCGATACAAATAAGTAATGAAAAAATAATTAATATTCAGTCTAAAAAGTCTGCAGTTACATATAGTAAATCTATAAGTTCACAAGAACATCGAACAGCAAATAAAGATGACCTTGTTCCACAAAATTCAGATACAATATCTACATCCAATACTTGTAATGCTGAGATTGATGTAGGTAAAAATATATCTGTTATTAATTTTAAATTTTTGTAAAAGCTTACCTATATATATATATATATATTATTAAAGTTTTAACTTTTTTTATTTATATCACTGTAAACATATATTTAAAATGGTATATAATTCGTAATATTTATATAATCTGACAATGAGTAGATAACAATAATATGTGTCAATTATTTTTGCAGATTTTCATAATTTAATTATCAGGAAACTAAATGCAGTATTGTTAAATCTTACAACAATTGATAAACGTTTAATAAAGTTGGATAATCACATAAGAAAAAATGAGGAAACGGATTTAAAAAAAAATGAACATTATGATTTCGATTTGCCAGCAGATACCGTAGAACAATTACAGAGAATTGATAATCAATTAAAAAACAAATGTGTTGCTACAGAAATGGTATATACAAAATATTATCATTTTATACTTACGATTAGTGTGCGCAACGGAAGGCAGGATCAGGATGTCGGAAGCGAGAAGACGGCGAAGCACGACACTCGACAAACACGTATCGTTTAATATAACTATATTTTAACTAAAAACAAAGAAAATTACAATTACTGAAAACCGCACAGAATTTACAAAAAGTTAACGGATTAGGAGAATCTAAAAGAAATAGCCGAGTCGGTAATTAATAATTAAACGTTCCGCAAGCGACGATAATTAGACGTGGTAAAGAGAAAAAGACGAGCAATCTTTTTCTAACAATAGCAACACACTCTTGACACGACGAGCAATCGGAGAAGAGCCCCGCGATCACGAGAGAGGAGGCTTTTATAGGCCCGTGTTTCTAGAATATTCGAGAAGAATCCTATTTATTCTATCGTTTTGCTGAGGTCGAAAGAGCGTTTTGTGTAATTGTTTACTTTTAGACAATTAATCTTTTTATTGTTATCGGAACTAAAGTGTATCTCCTCTCGCGTGACCGCGGTGTTTACAATTATCGGGGATTTAACGTAAGCGCTTTCTTTTCGCAGGCGCGGGGTATACGTATACCGGTGCGGCCGAGCGCTATTTTAAAGCATTAATAAAAAATGATGCATGATGCATGTTGCATGTCACGATTTGCATGAGCTTTAACGCAATAATGTTCTTAGGTCTTTTCATTTTTCAATCAGCCGTTCGATTTTCGAACATTCCGCCCGCCTTGCAGTATACCTGCAATCGAACAAGAAGTGCGAGAGAGGGGGCGCGCCTATTCACGCTCTCGCGAATGACGGGCACGTGGAGCGCACGTGCTCTGACGGATTTTGCCCAAGGAATTCCGGATCGAACAGCTGTTTATTTTCGAGCGCGGCAGTATATACGCGTGTCGGTGAGCGCATCGAGGAATACGCGACAATTTGGATTGTGATTTTAACCGTGATTGAGTATGAACGAATAGTGGGGTGATAAGAAGATTGCAGCGATGCAAAGAGAGGAATAGTGAGTGGAATGTAGTTGTGTTTGATGTAAGTTAGTTTGGAACGGTGCAAATTAAGTGTTGATGAATTGACTAATCGCTTTGGGTTTTAGGTGGCAGTTCGTCAGCGTCGGGAAGGAAAACGAGTTTGCTAACGGGTCGGGTCAAGACAGTGGTGGCGGTGCGGACCTCGACGACGCGAACGTGTCCGTCGGCTCCGGAGAGCAATTTGGTGATGCGCGCTAGAGGCCACCTCGTTGGAGCGGTCATTTCGTGACGGATTAAACAAAGTCGACCGACGCGAGCTTCCCGGTTTATTTTGAACCATTTCGGCCGATGAGCCAGCGTGTGCAGATATTCGCGAGACCATCGAGACCAGAAATGATCCTTCATCTTTTGTAGAAGCTGCCACCGGGAGAGGCGCGACGACGATTCCTCGGTCAGCGACGGTTCGGGGACGGCGGAGAGCGCGGAGCCGATGAGGAAATGGCCGGGCGTCAGCGCGCTGAAGTCCTCCGGGTCGTCGGTCAGCGGTTGCAGAGGCCGAGAGTTGAGGCAAGCCTCGACCTGGGAGAGGAGAGTGGCCATCTCCTCGTAGGTGAGTGTAGCTTCTCCTATCACTCTGCGAAGATGGTGCTTCATTGACTTGACTGCCGCTTCCCAGATGCCGCCGAAGTTGGGCGCAGCCGGTGGGTTGAACCGCCACTGAATTTGTTCCTGAGCAGCGAAGGAGGCGATGCGACGGCCTTCAGGGTTTGTGGCTGCGAATAAGTCTCGGAGTTGCGAGTCGGCGCCTATGAAGGTGGTCCCACAGTCGCTGTATAGCGTTTGGCATACACCTCGCCGAGCGATGAACCGACGCAGGGATGCCAAGAAGGCATCGGCCGAGTAGTCCGAGGCGACATCAAGATGGACGGCCCTGGAACCTAAACAAATGAAAACGACAATGAAGGCCTTAGAAGATTTTTGCCCGCGGCCTTTGGCACTTCGCAGCCAGACGGGTCCGGCGTAGTCGACGCCAGTATGGAGGAATGGTCTTCCTGGCGTCACTCGGGGCGCAGGCAAGTCACCCATGAGAGGCTGTGCTGTAGCCGCCCGCCATCGCAGGCATCTTACGCAGCGGTGAATGTGGGTTTTAACGAGGGATCGTCCACGAGGAATCCAAAATTCTTGGCGGATGGAACACAGAGTCAGCTGGGTGCCCCCATGCAACGATCGTCGGTGATGCTCATCGATGACGAGGTAAGTAAGTCGCGACGAACTCGGTAGGATGATTGGATGGATGGCCTGAAAAGACATTTGAGAATGTCGTAGACGCCCTCCGACGCGGATAACGCCCGAATCGTCTACAAACGGGCTGAGCGTATTGAGTGGGCTTCGGTTGGGCAGTGGTGCCAGTCCTCGCAACGATTTTAACTCGTCCTTGAAATTTGCAGCTTGGACGAGCCGTACCCAGTGGATCATCGCGTCATGCAGTTCTTCAGCGTCTACCCCGCCGTCGCGATTGAGAAGGATGGGCTGCCGTCGGCGTTGTCGTAACCACCGGAGACACCAGGCGGTGATGCGAAGTAGTCGCTGCAGGGACGAGTATCGGAGTAGCAGCTCCGGTTCGTCTCCTCGCTTGTCCAAGACTGCAGCGTGCGAACGGACTCGACGTTCTGGTAGCTCGACGTAGCTGGGATCTTCTCCGAAGACGGTCCAAGGGCCGCTCTCCGTTTTCAGCCAAGAGGGACCCTGCCACCAAAGTGGATGCGCCTCCAGATCTCCAGGGAAGATGCCTCGAGAGGCGCAGTCAGCCGGGTTTTCGCGTCCAGGGACATGATGCCAAAGGGCGTCGGGGAGCGACGTCTGAATTTCGCTGACCCGGTTGGCAACGAATGTGACCCAGGAAGAAGGATGTCCACGGATCCAGCCGAGAACCACTGTGGAGTCTGACCAGAGATGAAGAGGCGCCTTTTCAGCTCCGATGAGAGGCAGCGTTTGCTGAACGAGGCGGACCAGAAGAGTTGCGGCGGATAACTCGAGCCGAGGTAAGGAGATTTGTTTTAGCGGAGCAACTTTCGTCTTGGCGGCAATCAGCGTAACTCCATACTCCCCGTTCTTCTCGGTTTTTAGGTACACCACAGCGGCGTAGGCACGGACTGAGGCGTCAGCGAATCCGTGGACTTCCAGGCGGCAGTCAGTCGATCCTCCACCCAGCCATCGAGGAACGTGCAGTCTCTCCAGTTGAGGGAGCTCCGCTTGGAAGCGTAACCAGGCCTTCTCATGGTCGTCCGGAAGAGGAGTGTCCCAGTCGATGCCGAGCAACCAAGTAGACTGGATTAGAGTCTTGGCGAGAACAGTCGTGGGAGACAGCCAACCGAGCGGATCAAACAGCTTCGCTGTCAACGATAAGACTGACCGCTTGGTGATCGTGGACAACGTTGGTTGGCTGGTGGCGAAGGAGAAGAGGTCGTCGCAAGGTTGCCACCGTAATCCCAGGGTGGCATGACTTTCCCCAGGCAGCCACCATCTTGCCTCTTGCTGGAGGCAGTCCTCGGTAGGTAATGTCGAAAGTAACTGAGGGTGATTAGCTGACCATTTTTTCAGAGGGAAGCCTCCCGCCTTGCAGATCAGAACAAGCTGTCGGAGGATTTCCTTGGCTTCTTGGAGGGTAGAAGCTCCAGACAGGATGTCGTCCATGTAAACGTCGGAGCGGAGGACCGCGGCTCCCTCAGGATGACGATCGCCTTCGTCCACGGCGAGCTGATGCAGTGTGCGGATGGCCAAGTATGGAGCGCAGGCTAAACCGTAAGTCACAGTAGTCAGCCAATATTCCTTGATCTCTGTTTCCGAGTCCTTCCTCCACAATATTCTTTGCAGGCTTTGATCATCGGCATGCACCAGGATTTGCCGGTACATTTTTTCAATGTCGGTGGCAAAGACGAACCGGTGCCTTCTCCACCGTAGTAGGATGTCCGCTAGGGCGGGAAGCAGGTTGGGTCCCGTCATCAGGAATCGGTTGAGACAGTCGCCGTTGGCCAAAGAGCTCGAACCGTTGAAGACCACTCTCAACTTGGTAGAGACACTGTTTTCGCGCAGGACCCCGTGGTGAGGAAGGTAGCAGGTTCGCTGTAGAGATCCAGTGGTCGACAGGGGAGCCGGCTTCATATGGTTGAGGTCCAAGTATTGCTCCATGAAATCCACGTACATGCTGCGGAAGGTATTTTCTTGTTCTAATTTTTTGCTGACGTGTTGCAGGGCCCGACTGGCGGCGCGTCGAGTGGCTGAGAGATCAGGCAGAGGCTCGATCGTCGGCAGTCTCACCACATATCGACCGTTGGCGGTACGGCTGTGATGTCTTAGGAAATGATCCTCGCACTCCTGGTCAGCCTTGGAGAAGAGTTGTGAAGGCCGTTGAAGCTCCTCCTGCTCCCAGAAGCGTCGCACCAGGATAGAGACGTCGTCCTCAACTCGGCATTGGTGAGTGTGAACGTGATGTCCGGTAGTCGTCTCACCAACCACGCCTGACAGTATCCAGCCGAGCGTGGTTTGTTGAGCTATTGGCTCATGTCGATTTCCCTTTTTTAGGCCCTGACAGAGGATCGAACTGTAAACGTCCGCACCAAGGAGGATGTCAACCGGATCAGCTGAGCGGTAATCAGGGTCCGCGAGCTCCAGACCCTGAAGATGAGGCCAGTTATGCCCGCAGCCGTTGTAGCCGCCGGCGTAGATGGTCAGCTTCGGCAGCACCAGGGCGTGGACGGTGATGGAAGGGCAGCCACTAAGAGACTGGAGGGTGAGTACCACTTTACCTTTTGAGACGCCTGTCTTTTTCCCGCCGACTCCATACACGGAAACTGAAGCGGAGCTCCGTGCTAGCCGCAAGCGTTGGGTGAGCCTTTCCGACACAATGGAGGATTCCGAGCCTTGGTCGACGAGGGCGCGAACGGACTGCCAGGAACCATAGCGATCGCATACGCGAACGCGTGCTGTGGCCAAAAGTACCGCTACAGGCGTCGGAACCGGTCCCTTGCTGACGTGCGCCGTTTTGACGGTCTCCGATGAGCGGTAGGCATCATGGAGTGAGGTGTGATGCCGGTCATTGCAAGCAGAGCAGTTCTTCTTGGAGGCGCACTCCTTGGTCTTGTGTCGGCCGAGACAGTTTCCGCACAAGTCGTTGCCTTCGACGTGCTGCTTGCGCTCTGAGGCCGTCATTTTCCTATAAGCGTCGCACAGCATCACGAAGTGGTCACCCTGGCAGGCTGAACAGCGTCCTTTAGTGTTTCCCTTGAGCTCCTTTGAGTCCAGCTTACGAGCATGGTGCGTACGAGTCGACCTCGACTGACTCCCGCTGGCCTTGCTGGACGAGACGTCGATCTTCGTCGAGGGTAACGACTCAAGAGTATGAAGGCGTCGCTCAAGGAATCGCTCTAGCAGAGCGTATGGCGGAGGCTCGTTCGTTTCGCTGATGGAGGTCTCCCACTCGCGGCGAGAGCGACTATCGAGAAGGTCAACGGCGAGGTGCACAAAGAGATCTTCAGTACTCCCTACTGGCCGGTCGATGCTCACCAGCGAGCTGACCGTAGTCTTGATGCCGTGGAATATCTTCCGAAGCTCAGTAGAGGATTCTCCCTTCATCTTTGGCAGGCTTAAAAAATTCGTTATATAAGAGCGGGTTAGTAAGCGCTTATTTTCGTAGTAGTCGCTTAGAGTTCGCCAGGCTCGCTCGTAATTGGCTTCGGTAGAACTGAGGTCTCTGATGAGAAGATCTGCCTCGCCCTTGACACAGCTCTTCAAGTAATGCATCTTCTCCACAGGCTTCGTCGTCTTATCCTGACCGATGAGGGAGACGAAGAGGTCTCGGAAGGCCGGCCAATCCTCGTATCTTCCCGTGAAGGTCGGCAGCTGGATTCGAGGTAGCGTGGTGCGAGGCGCCGATGGTGATGTCTCTGAAGTAGCAGAAGCAGCGGCGCGTTCCTTCTTCTGGAGAGTACGCCGCATCTCCAACATCAGGCCCTTGTTCACGAGATAAGACTCTTCGCCGAGTGAAGGTATGTCCTGTTTAGCATAGACGTCATGCTTTATTTCGTCTACACGCTCAGCCAAGATATCATTCATCGCATCGAACTTCTCCCACAGTTTGTCGAGATTCAGAAGCCGGGTTTCCACTGCACCGAGTGTGATGTTGGCCTCGCCGAGCTTACGAAGGTTATCGTATGCGCGCGAAATCTTGCCATATAGCGCGTTGGCGTTGGTGATTATAGTCGTGGTGTCTGCCATCTCTGACACTGTCTTATTTTCAGATGCACTGTTCACCTACACTGAAAGACTCTACGCTTCCGTGGCACCGGATTCACAGGAGGTTCTGGAGGATCCGGCTCGAAGGACCAAAAATAATGTGCGCAACGGAAGGCAGGATCAGGATGTCGGAAGCGAGAAGACGGCGAAGCACGACACTCGACAAACACGTATCGTTTAATATAACTATATTTTAACTAAAAACAAAGAAAATTACAATTACTGAAAACCGCACAGAATTTACAAAAAGTTAACGGATTAGGAGAATCTAAAAGAAATAGCCGAGTCGGTAATTAATAATTAAACGTTCCGCAAGCGACGATAATTAGACGTGGTAAAGAGAAAAAGACGAGCAATCTTTTTCTAACAATAGCAACACACTCTTGACACGACGAGCAATCGGAGAAGAGCCCCGCGATCACGAGAGAGGAGGCTTTTATAGGCCCGTGTTTCTAGAATATTCGAGAAAAATAAAATTACTTTAAAAATGATTTATTATAAGTATTAATTATATATGTTAGTGATATAGTTATTAAATATGATTAAATAATGTGATTTAACGTGAATGTGTATTAAATGATAGTTATACACCCACACACACGTACATATTTAATAATATGGCTTATATTTTTGGAACGTATATATGTATTATTTAAAAAATAAAAATGTAATTAAATAAATTACATTTATAATCTTTGAGACAAGCATATGACTACTGGCAGGATCAACCAGGGAGCTTCGTGTTCGGTTACTCGCAAGGGAGTAACTCGCGAGCGAGCCCGAAGACTCGTCGCTAGCTCTTTTTCGCGCGCGCGCGCGTTCGATGCCGAAACACCGACGCGCGCGCGACTCGCTCGTATGTGCCATTTTATTTGCCGCCGGTCTTGCTCAGCCGGTCGGCGACACTCTGCTGTGTTTAACGCTATTATGTAAAGCGTACGAGAGAACGACGGAGGCGAGAGTAAACCCCCGACGCCGCCGCCTCTCCTCTTCTTCCTCCTCCTCTCCGTTCAAAAATCCACAAGATCAAAATACTCGTGTTCTTATTCTCCCAAATGTTATGATGCGCGGTCTCGAGAGACCGCGCGATTCACCCTGACGCTAGATCGACGATGGCGATGCTTAGACGTCGAGGACTGTTCTGTCTGGTTCGTACGCGTTTAACCGCACACGACCAGCAATAAGATTTCGCTACGGCGTACAAAGCGAGCGGGAAGAAGCAACTCTTCCCGCAAACTCGTATCCGTGGAGTAGATGCTCGGTAAGCGCGACGATTCCGCTGCTGCGTACGAAACGAGAGGGAACCGCGCGGCCAACACACTAGAGGCGTGCGCGCCACATAAGAGCCATTCGGTCTTGCGACACCGACTCGTGGCAATGCTGTGCTCGTAATAAATAAGTGTGCGTTAATTTTGCGCGCGTTCGGCGACGAACGAGAAGAGCCGCACCGTAATCCCCGGCGAAGAGGAATACGAGACGACGCGAGAGTCGAACGTACGTTCTCGCGAGACACGCAACCTCCAAGCATGAGAAGACTTGGCGGCGGCGCGTTCTGCGACGATCGTATATTATTTTATATATTCGTGGTTTCCAAAATCAAACATTTTATATATAAATGTTCTCTCCGTGTCAGAGTCGCGACTCGACAAAATCCGTTCTCGACCCGTTCGGGCGATTCTTCGTTTGTCAACGTCGAGAGAGCGACACGTACAATATTAATCTCTCCTACCTCTTATAGTACCCAACCGACCGGCCAAGCGGTCGGCGACGGTACGGAGAGCGGTCGAAACACGCCGGAGTGGCGAGAGACTCGAGAAAGTACGTTTACGACTCGTCCGGACTCGCTCGACTCGTTCGACGCGCCGAGCGCGACGTATCTCTTATAGTACCCAACCGGCCGGCCAGGCGGTCGGCGACGCACGGTCCTACGCACGGCCGTATGCGAGCGCGAGCGCCGAAAGGCGCGTTCAATCGAGACATTGTCGCGGAGAGCGAACGATTGAAAAGTCCTATTGTACGATAAAATATTATCACGATAGCCGTATGGCGAATGTCAAACAACGATAATTAGCATTAATTAAGAAGGAAACAAACGAAATGCCGGGACAATAAGGTATAAGCACCGACGGTACCTCCGGGCCGGGCGGCACCTCCGGGCCGGGCGGCACCTCCGGGCCGGGCGGCACCTCCGGGTCGGGCGGCACCTCCTGGCCGGGCGACACCTCCGGGAACCACGGCCGACCGGCGGCACCTCCGGGCCGGGCGGCACCTCCGGGCCGGGCGACACCTCCGGGAACCACGGCCGACCGGCGACACCTTCGGACCGGGCGACACCTCCGGGAACCACGGCCGACCGGCGACACCTCCGGGACGGGCGGCACCTCCGGACGACCGAATGATCTCTCGATGTCAGACGACCGCCGGCGGTACCTCCGGAACACTTAACGACGATTTACGGCGCCGCAACGAGGAGAGCTACGTAAAAACGTTTCGGACGAAAGTTACTTAATATTCGGCGCTCGCTCGACATGAGGGCGCTGTCCGATTACTAACTCGAAACGTGTCTCTCAAACCCACGTGTCGGAGACATATATTTCGAATTATTACGGATGATACGCAACACGCAAGCTGCGGTGACCGCGATTACGGTACGGAACACTCGCCCGATGCGAAATCACGCGCGCGGCAACCGAGACGGCTCGTTACGGGCGTGATTATACGTGCGGCACCACATAACGGCCGGCGTCAACTTAGGGGACGGACGGCACCTCCGGGACTGGCGACACCTCCGGACGACCGAATGATTTCACCAAGTCCGTCGCCCGCCGGCGGTACCTCCGGGGCACTTGACGGCGAGTAGCGCCGCTACGAGGAGATAATGCTACGATACGGAAATACGTTTCGGACAAAGGTTTCGTACTTTTCGACGCTCCGCACGACCGCGCGACACGATTATTACGATATCTGCTAATTCCCGGTTACCACTCGTCGGATGCACAATCTTCGAGATTCTACGACCGATACGTGGACGAATGCAGGCAGGATGCCGATAAGCGAAGCCGGAGTGTTTGCACGAATAAACTTTCCGATGCGTCCTCATTTAATTAATCTCATTTAGCTCGCTCGTTAGCGGTACAAGCGAGAACTCGGGAACAGGCGCAAGTTCGCTCGCGGCGCGTTGCTCTCGCCGGCGAGCGAGAAAATTTTCCAGGCCCGATAGCGGCGTGTTGCCTTGATTAGCGGGCGACACCTCCGGCGGCACGCGCCGCCCGTAACCCAAGTACGATCGCGGCGTGTTGCTTTCGTTGGCGGGCGACACCTCCGGCCGCACAAGCCGCTTTTTCCAAGTTCGCTCGCGGCGTGTTGCTTTCGCCGGGCGAGCGACAAATTCTTCCAAGTCCGTTCGCGGCGTGTTGCTTTCGCCGGGCGAGCGAAAAATTCATCCAAGTCCGTTCGCGGCGTGTTGCTTTCGCCGGGCGAGCGAGATATTCTTCCAAGTCCGTTCGCGGCGTGTTGCTTTCGCCGGGCGAGCGAGAAATTCTTCCAAGTCCGTTCGCGGCGTGTTGCTTTCGCCGGGCGAGCGAGAAATTCATCCAAGTCCGTTCGCGGCGTGTTGCTTTCGCCGGGCGAGCGACAAATTCTTCCAAGTTCGCTCGCGGCGTGTTGCTTTCGCCGGGCGAGCGAGAAATTCTTCCAAGTTCGCTCGCGGCGTGTTGCTTTCGCCGGGCGAGCGAGAAATTCTTCCAAGTTCGTTCGCGGCGTGTTGCTTTCGCCGGGCGAGCGAGAAATTCATCCAAGTCCGTTCGCGGCGTGTTGCTTTCGCCGGGCGAGCGACAAATTCTTCCAAGTCCGTTCGCGGCGTGTTGCTTTCGCCGGGCGAGCGAGAAATTCTTCCAAGTCCGTTCGCGGCGTGTTGCTTTCGCCGTGCGAGCGAGAAATTCTTCCAAGTCTGTTCGCGGCGTGTTGCTTTCGCCGGGCGAGCGAGAAATTCTTCCAAGTCCGTTCGCGGCGTGTTGCTTTCGCCGGGCGAGCGAGAAATTCATCCAAGTCCGTTCGCGGCGTGTTGCTTTGCCGGGCGAGCGACATATTCTTCCAAGTTCGCTCGCGGCGTGTTGCTTTCGCCGGGCGAGCGAGAAATTCTTCCAAGTCCGTTCGCGGCGTGTTGCTTTCGCCGGGCGAGCGAGAAATTCATCCAAGTCCGTTCGCGGCGTGTTGCTTTCGTTGGCGGGCGACACCTCCGGCGGCACGCGCCGCCCGTACCACAAGTCCGATCGCGGCGTGTTGCTTTCGTTGGCGGGCGACACCTCCGGCCGCACAAGCCGCTTTTTCCAAGTTCGCTCGCGGCGTGTTGCTTTCGCCGGGCGAGCGACAAATTCTTCCAAGTTCGCTCGCGGCGTGTTGCTTTCGCCGGGCGAGCGAGAAATTCTTCCAAGTCCGTTCGCGGCGTGTTGCTTTCGCCGGGCGAGCGAGAAATTCTTCCAAGTCCGTTCGCGGCGTGTTGCTTTCGCCGGGCGAGCGAGAAATTCATCCAAGTCCGTTCGCGGCGTGTTGCTTTCGCCGGGCGAGCGACAAATTCTTCCAAGTTCGCTCGCGGCGTGTTGCTTTCGCCGGGCGAGCGAGAAATTCTTCCAAGTCCGTTCGCGGCGTGTTGCTTTCGCCGGGCGAGCGAGAAATTCTTCCAAGTCCGTTCGCGGCGTGTTGCTTTCGCCGGGCGAGCGAGAAATTCTTCCAAATCCGTTCGCGGCGTGTTGCTTTCGCCGGGCGAGCGAGAAATTCATCCAAGTCCGTTCGCGGCGTGTTGCTTTCGCCGGGCGAGCGACAAATTCTTCCAAGTTCGCTCGCGGCGTGTTGCTTTCGCCGGGCGAGCGAGAAATTCTTCCAAGTTCGTTCGCGGCGTGTTGCTTTCGCCGTGCGAGCGTGAAATTCATCCAAGTCCGTTCGCGGCGTGTTGCTTTCGCCGGGCGAGCGACAAATTCTTCCAA